AAGTGAGTTTAGGGTTAAAACGTCAACACATATCTGCCAGTGGGCTCAGAAAAATAAACTTAATTCAAAGGGAAAACAAGTTTTAATACCACATTAACAGATGTTTGTTCTTGTTTTAATCATGGACTCATTTAATATTGTTCCATTTCTCAGAAAACAAGACTTCATATCATCCTTTTGCATCTGAAAAATGTATTTGGATTTAAGGATGTTTACATATTCATATTGGAACAACAAAAACAAAAATAATTAAGATGATATTCATTTTCTGCAGTGCATGCAACATTTAAGGCTGCTCTCTTCTGCTCCGATTTAAGAGCTTTTAAGGCCTTAATTTGTGAAAATGTGAAGTATACACTTTTAAAGACCTTTTAAAGACCTGCAGAAACCCTGCTAATGAGGTTTTAACAGTATGTTTAAGCAACAACAATAATAATAATCTGTAACCACTGCAAAATGGCCTTTTTAATACACAGGGTAAAGTGAATGCACAATTTAAAATGAGAAAGGAAAAACAAATCCCATGAAACCGAAGGTATACCTGTGATTTTTCTCTCCATTGCACTGGGTTTTGTCACCCTGGCTACCGTCCCCTGACATGATGTCTCAGTCTCTGGGGTCACAGTTGAAGCTGTGTCTGTAGACACCAAACTGTTCTGGCTCTAGAAAAACATAGAAGGATCTAGCAAAAACATGGTGCTTGATGAGAAAAAGAAGAACATTTGATAACTTTATAAAGATAAACAAATGCATAGAATGATATAGACAGACTGTCAAGACCAGAACTATGTTTTCAAACAGCTTTGTAAGCCAAAGTAGATCATAGAGAACATTGATGCCAATGTTTCGTAATATTATTTCGATACTTTTGGGAAATGCAGCCTAGAACTGAGCATGTGGACAATTAACATCAACAAATGGATTGGTATTAGAGAAACACCGTTCAAATTATTTCTTGTTGTGTGCATTATGTATATGAAACATATATAAGTTTAAGCAAAGTATGCACATGTTTCAAACATTGTAAAGCATAGGGGATTATAAGATTATGACAGTATTATGACAGGTGGTATGATGACATCTGTCAACTGCTACAAGCAAATTAAGACATACATTTAAACCTTTATCAGTGTTTAATGTCGTGTGTTTACTGTAGTTCACATTGTACTGAACATCTGTCTGCCGAGAGAGCCCTAAAAAGGCACTTAGCTATACAGCACTCTCAGAAAAAAGGTGCAAAAGCTGTCACGGGGGCAGAACCTTTTCTAAAGGTACACCTTTGTACCTTATTTACCCCTAAAGGGTGTATATTAGTACCTTAAACATACATATTAGTACCTAAAGTGTGCGTATTAGTGCCTAAATGGAACATATTAGTACCTTTTGAAAGGGTACCATCACAGTGACAGGTTTTGCACCTTTTTTTGAATAAACATTGCCTACAATAACAACTAAATTTGCCTATTAACAACTAATAATTCCGAGAAAATTATACAAATTACTACAAATAAATATCAAGCAACACATTGTTAAATGTGTATCTTTGAAGTAAAAAGTAAAATGAAATAGTATTTTATTGTAAAACATTCTCCAGTAATCTACAACTTATATATATTTACATTTAGTCATTTAGCAGACGCTTTTATCCGAAGAGACTTACAAATGAGGAGAATAGAAGCAATCAAAAGAGCAATAATATGTAAGTGCTATGACAAGTCTCGGTTAACCTAATGCAGTAAACGTAGCAAGCTTTTTATATATAATACATGTTTTATTACTTTAATTTACTCTGAATAGGGCAGAGTAAATTAAAGTAATAGCTAACCAATAAACAAATAAGAAACAAATCCAAAAATTCATATTTTATTGTTGGTATAATTCATTTGAATCTAATTAGATTAGACTCTGCTCATGTGTCTGTCCTTGATGATGCCACACCTGAAACATTGATAACATACAATAATGCAAAAAATTTAATCAGAAATTCAAGTGTTATAAAAAAATCCCACCGGCTCAGTGACATCAAAACACGGAGGAAAACTGATAAAAACACTCAACACTTGATAAAAAAGATATCATGTGGTATACGATACGTATATAGAATCCTGTTTTGATTAATGTTACTGTACTCTACAGAGTGACAACATGACCGATGCTACTATTCTTGTCACATTTTCAATCACTCGACCTATCTTCACTTTCAGTGCCAGAGGTCATACTCTAACTAAATCTACTGTCAGTAGCTTCATATGACAGTGAAATAAGTGACATGAAAGTAAAGATGTGAGCAGAGAAGAGCAGAAATGTGAATGTACCTGCCTGGATGGCCTCTGCAGGAGTCACCTTGTTTTGCGTCCTCTCTGCTGTTCCTGTATGTGAGACTGTAGCTGCGCGAAATGGAGCACAGGAGAGACAGTGTGAGAGTGTGTGTGTGTGTGTGTGTGTGTGTGTGTGTGTGTTCATATGACAGTGAAATAAGTGACATGAAAGTAAAGATGTGAGCAGAGAAGAGCAGAAATGTGAATGTACCTGCCTGGATGGCCTCTGCAGGAGTCACCTTGTTTTGCGTCCTCTCTGCTGTTCCTGTATGTGAGACTGTAGCTGCACGAAATGGAGCACAGGAGAGACAGTGTGAGTGTGTGTGTGTGTGTGTGTGTGTGTGTGTGTGTGTGTGTGTGTGTGTGTGTGTGTTTGGCTCAGCATAAAGAGGATCGGAGAGCAGCTGATCAATCTACACCTGTGCTGCGATGAACAGTATATATAGCTGAACTATTAATAATAATGCAATCCTTTCATACTTTTCAGCAGAGTTCTGTAATAAATGTGACTGTTACCTCAATGGCTCTACTTTCTCTGCATACTAATGTCACAAGACTCAAAACACAATACAATGTATAGACTGTGTGGAAATATGATGTCTATGCAGCCCTTGTTAAGAAATTAATAAATAAACATGATAACTTAATATGATAAACGTCAACAGTAAACCTAGATAGATGTGATTATGAAGTGTGTAATGGAACATTACTGCTCACTATGCACTGAGCCGTCTTAAGAAGCTTTACTCCTCTTTAACAGAGTAAGCACCCTTCAGAAACACTCTCATTCATCTGATTGCCATTCATTATATCCAGACAACTGCATAATGCAAAACAAAACTCTAGCTCCGGTGGAACTGCCTCAAGCCCTTATTAGCACACATTTATAAGGTGTTGAACCCAATAATCACATTCTATTCACTCTATATCTAGACAAACAGTCTTCATTTTCTTCATCAATTTAAACGTTTATACTTTCTTGTCAGCACAATTAGAACAGCTTAGCCTACTTGCTTAGCATAGTGCTAACTGATTATGAAATAAAAATTAGATTAGCTAGAAGATAAGAAAACACACTGACAAAATATGAAGGCTATAGTTTGTCTCACAATCTCACAAAAAAGTACATTTCTGATACAGGCTATAATTCGCTATAATTGAATTACCCGATTAAACCTGTATCTTAGATTTAAACCAAGATGTCTTACATATAGCCCAGTCCTGAACTGTTTACTGTGGATTTACAACTTGCTTTCTCTTCTGAAAATATCATATAATACAAAAGCTCAGATAATTGACTTGACTATTGAATTTATTTTTATTCATAACTTGTCATTTATCACCCTTCAGAAACGCTCTCATTCATTTTTTGCCATTCATTATATCTATACAAATGCATAATGCAAAAACAAAACTCCAACTCCGGTGACACTGCCCCAAGCCCTTATTAGCAGACATTTATGAGGTGTTGGACCCAACAATCACATCCTCTTCACTCTAAGCAATCTAGACCAAATGTTAGCAGCAACACACAAAACCTCGCCCTTTCCACATTGTCTTCATCATGTTTACAAATGAAACATGTGTCCTTTCTTGTTAGCACAATTAGAATAGCTTAGCCTACTAGCTTAGCATTGTGCTTATTATTGGATTATTAAATAAAAATGTGATTAACTAGAAGATGATATCATGACAACACACTGACAAAATATGAAGACTAGTCTGTCTCTGTAGGCTCAAAATAAAATACATTTCTGATTCAGGCTATAATTCGCTATAGTTTTATAACCTGATTAAACCTTTATCTGAAATTCATAAATCAATACGCTCTATATATTGCCCAGTCTTAAACTGTTTACAGTGGATTTATAATTTCGCCTTCTCTACCGAAAATATCATAGAATACAAAAGCTATTAAAAAAGCTCATATAATTGACTTAACTACTGATTTTATTTTGATTGATAAATTGTACTTTATCTTTCTTTTTATGATCCATCCCTTGTTTTATTGTTTGCGTTCCTTCTTTTTAATGTGTGGTTATTGAATAAAAAATATATTAGTAAACTACTCGACTGGGTCTTCTGTTCTGGTCACATGAACATGAAGAACCTATGTGAGAGATGAAAGATTGAGAAACTAAGTAACATAGCATAAGTTATTTATGTTTCTTCAGTTGCGTTATCATGATGTCCTAATTCCAAATATGATCAAATATTGTGTATGTGGAAGTGTTGAGGCAATTTGGCTATTGAAAATATAACATTATAATTTAACTCCAAGTCTTCAAACTGATCCCATCTTCCCATTGCTAAAAATGTAGGCCTAAAACAAGCAAACTATGTATGATTTAATTATCATTTATTTGTAAGATATTGTATACAGGGTGGGAAATTATAAATGATATATTAAAAAATAATAATTCAAACAGTAAAAGTAATGCTGAACTAAAAACAATACATATATGGGCAAAGGCACACCTCCTAATTACTGAATTTGAGTATTTAAATCAGACCCATTGCCACAGATGCATAAAATCAAGCACCGAGCCATGCGCTCTGCATGTACAAATATGTGTAGGGGGGAAAAAGGGTAGTTTTGAAGAGCACAGTGAGTTGCATTCTGGTACTGTGATAGGACGCCACCTTTACAATAAGTCAATTTGTGAATTTTCTCCCCTGCTAGATATCCCATAGTCAACTGTAAATGTAATTATTGGAAATTGGAAGCAGTTAGGAACAGCAGCAACTCAGCCACAAAGTGGAAGACCATGTAAAGTCAAACTGCGGGTCGCTGAAGAGCTCCAAACTTCCACTGTCATTAATATCAGCACATAAACTGTGCAGCAGGAGCTTCATAGGATGGGTTTCCATGGCCAAGCAGCTGCATGCAAGCCTAAATTCAAGTACAATGCAAACCCTGTTGAAAAAAACAGCATATGCTGGTTAGGTATGTTTTGAAGCATGGCTGCTGGTTTGAGCTGGTTTAAGCTGGTCATGTGCTGGTCCTAAGCAACTAACTCCTGCTCAGGACCAGCACATGACCAGCTTAAACCAGTTCATGACCAGCTAAGGACCAGCTTAAACCAGCAGTCATGCTTCAAAACATACCTAACCAGCATATGCTGTTTTTTTTCAACAGGGAAGTGTCTGATAAAGTGGTGTAAACAAGTGGTTCTCAACTCCGTCCTAGGGACCCACTACTCTGCACATTTTGTATGTATTCCATATTTTACACACTTGATTCAGATCATCAGCTCGTTAGGAGAGCGCTCCATGAAACTCTACTAAGTGTGTCAGTTAAGAGACACAGAAAATGTGTAGAGCGGTGATGATACAAATGATATAAATGATAAAAATATACTTTGATTCAATCCCAAAACATGAAAAGAGATCAGAAATAGAAAGGTGCTCAAATTAAGTTAAAAAAAACACATACTTGTGTCATTCAGTTTGTGGTTGAGCAGCTGGACTCCTGATTGTCCTGGGTGACTGTAGCTCAGATCAAGCTCTCTCAGGTGTGAGGGGTTTGAACTCAGAGCTGAAGATAAATAACCACAGCCTTCCTCCGTCACCATACAGTCAGACAACCTACAGACAGATCACACACACGTGTTATCTAAAAGAGGACATTCAATAGACTTTTGTTTTTATACTAAACTAATAATAAACACTATAACCTCGCCCTAACTGAAAACTTTCTGTTTTCCCAATAACTTTTCAGAAACAGCTCAATCCATCAAAGTGTTCAAAGTGTTTCGAAGGCTTGTTCACATATTTTGAATCAGTAACAGAATATCCTGAATCCATGGCATAAGAAAGTAGTTCCTCTTACATAAGATTTTTCTGGACACTCTTTGCTTTTTCTTATTTAGTTACAGCCATAACAAGCAGTGTACATGGAACAGTTAAATACCCCACATAAATACCTGAATATTTCCAGCAAACCATTTGGATTCTTCAGTCCATCAGAGAGAAGCTTCACTCCTGAATCCTGTAGGTCATTATTACTCAGGTCCAGCTCTTTCAGGACAGCATATAAATTTCCTCCTTAAGAAATTAAACACAAATATCCTTCCTTGGTCGCTTCTTACATGTTTTACTATACTTTTTAGATTATATTCTACTATACCTATTTCCCATAGCTGATTCTTCAACTCTTGCCATTCTTGTATAAATTTCTCGCATGATAAAAAGACGTGTTTAATTGTCTCTTCGACCTGGCATTCATCACAGAATCCTGTTGGATGTTTTCCTAGCACATGAAGAGTCTTGTTTAGCTTGCAATGTCCAATCCTCAACCTACTTATTATGAATTGTTCTCTCCTTTTATTTCCCTTCTTACTTTCCATGCCTTCCTTTAATTTCATGATTGTTGTTTCAGTTTCTTCTTCGCTTGTTTTGGAAATTCTGTACAGAAGATGCTTAATCCAAATTTATTGGCTCACGTAGGCCTACCCCTCATTTGCCAAAAATCCAAGTGTTTCCATATTCACAATAATTATTTGTTTAACTGTTATTCCTTTATATGCTATACATTCATTTAAGGGTATTTGTCAAAAGAGCTCACCTTAACATCAAACGAGTTGCTGTTAAACTTCAAAAATACTTTATACACCATATATAACTTCAAACAATGGTGTCGCGTATACTGTGGTATCTGTAAGGATATGTGTGACACAGGTAATATCACTAAGTCTTTAATAGACTACAAATATACTGCACAAAGAAAAACTAACACAAACCTCACAGCTAACACAGGCGAGAACCGACAAGTGACTGAACAGAACAGAGGGTATAAACATACAGAGTTAACAAGAACACAATGAGGCACAGGTGATAATAATCAGAAACGTTTAGGGATAACAATGGCCCTGTCCCAAATGGCACACTTCATGTGCACTTGAAGTCTAGCAGTACACTTGTTACCCACACCTAATTTTAAATATAACCATACTGAGCAATAAGGGGGTCATAATCTGTGAATTTTTAGCACCACACCTGACCCACGTAGGTTAGTTTGGTTCAGGTAATCCACAACAAGCATGTGTGCTCAGTGGGTGTGTGGAAGAACAA